TTGCAAAGTTGGTATCAATTCTGTGAGAAAATGCACTAATGGCCACTAGACAATCATTCAACAATCTGTTTACAAATGTGTACTGTTTTTACCCAACTCAGTTCATGCCAAAAAGCTCACCCTCCCTTAGGGAGCTATCCCCCAGGCCAATTTGCGTTTTGTGTTAAAAAATGACTGTACTTATGGCAAAATGAACCCACAATTTCTGACTTCTGATTGAGCAATAAAAAACAGTTAAAATGCACCAGAATGCAGTTTAATACATAGAGTTTTAAAAAATTTTCCACACCGTGGGAGGGGGACGCCCCCTCCCCCCTCCCCCCTCGGGGGCTTCGCCCCCTCGTATCCGCTTACTGCCCCCCCTGGTATTTTGCTCAGGCTACGGCCCTGTATGCAACACTGATAACACTAACACATTTCAAGGAAAAAATATGCCCATTATCTTGAATCACAGGAGTGATTAATGTTATGAAAATACAGGTTGAGTTCGAAAATCGGCTTGTTTTTCCCCTTTTCTGCGTCATCGATGCTGGTGCCATCATGAAGAGAGTAACTGCAAAATGTTTAAGAAGAACAACAGCAATGGTTGAAAGGTCACATGGGTTGTCAATAAAATAACCAAGAGAAAGGGGTATTTTAATTCTAGTGTTAAGCTGTATAGATAAGATAACCCATATCAGCACAAGTCTTAGCGATTGCTTTATTTATGGTTGAGCGCATTTGAATATTTCACTTTAGGGTGACTGTGACTTGGCATACATTTACATGTTCAGCTGCATAACCAGCTTTCTCAGTAGCTGGGTAGCTTTTAACAGGTGAGTAGCAAATGGACCATTGTGTGGGGCTTTTTGCATAAACAACTTATATTGAGAGAATACAAAAAGAATGGCGACTGACGACAAGGTACCGAAGACTTCCGGGTTACAAGTGCCTACGAATTTGGATACAGCAACCACAAAAATGCTAGCATCGGGAAATGTAGCAGACGACAGTCGCGTTCCAGAAGTTGAATATAATTTCAGCAAAGGTCGACATCTAAAGAACGTCTTGGTCTCGAGTCTGGCCTTCACGCTAGTTTTCACAGCATTCAGTGGTTTAGAATCATTACAAAGCAGTATAAATAAAGACCAAGGTCTTGGAGTCTACGGCCTTGTGTTCATCTACTCCACCATGATCATCTCTTGTCTTTTCCTGGCACCCCCTGTCATCTCCCTCCTCGGATGTAAATGGACCATAACGGCTGCCATGGCAACATACACGACGTATACCCTAGCCAACTTTTACGCAGTGTGGGGTACCATGGCGCCTGCCTCTGTCATATTAGGACTGGGAGGGACACTGCTCTGGTCGGCAAACTCCATGTACATCACCGAAACAGCCACACAATACGCCCAAATAACCGGGAAGAATAAAGACGTCTTACTCCCCGGCTTCTTTGGTATTTTCTTTGGAATCGTACACACATGTAAGTACATTTAAATTATATATCTTTAACATTTCGGGAGCTATCCATTCATCTATGGGCGTATTCCCAGAGCTTTTAGATCGATCTGTCCCCGCGGGGAGTCTCACTAGATTACTGTTAGATAATCGGCTTAAACGTCCATCCCGCCTACTACAAGCTGTTAAGGGGTAATCAACTTTCGTGCCCGCTCGGCTGACAGCTATTTAGCGTGAACCCCCAGGGAGTTAGGTCGATCTAAAGTAGATCGATCTAATCTCTGGAAATGGGGTCTATTTCAATTTCTTTCATTGCAATGCCAGAAGTTGGCGTGAAAATAAAATAATTAAGTTATCAGGCATTGAGGAAAAATGCATGTGGTAAATTATTGAAGTATTCCTTTACCGTTTAGTGTTTCACTTGATTATAAATCAACGTGGTGCGGAAAAGTCCAAGCTTGTCTTGGAAGATGTCAGAGCAGACTGTCCAATAGAAGCCATGCAGAACAGATGGTAAACGGACTAATTAGGCTGCATTCACATCGAGTTGAACCATGACTCTACAAAGCCACGACCTTAATATGGCGGACGTACATGAAAGGAAAACCGCCTAATCTTTTAATAGTCTCTCCGCCTCTCACACGCCTCTCCATGTGGCGTCCCAATGGAGCCGAGATTTAATGACAGTACCCCCGCAGGGACGACGCATAGGGAGGCATGCGAGAGGCGGAGAGACTATTAAAAGATTAGGCGGTTTCCTTTCATGTACGTCCGCCATATGTAGGTCGTGGCTTTGTAGAGCCATGGCGGGCTAACTTATCCGCCGACTAAATATGGCCGACTGAACTTCATAGCAACGCCGCTTAATCTTCTGATGCTCTCCCCGCCTCCACGCGCGCCCTTAAAAGGGTGAAATCTCAACTCCTAGGTTTAATATTGCAAGGTCCCTGCAGCGACAAAGCGTGTGGAGGTGGGGAATCCATCAGGGAATTAGTTGGCGCTGCTTTTAAGTGACTCGGTTATATTTAGTCCGCGGATCAACTTGTTCTGAATGGCCTGATAGATGAAGGGATATCATAGGGGCATCTGTAGTATAGCATTTGACAGAATTGAAGTAGATACTTTTTTGCAATTTTGTTACCGACTAGCATCTACCCCTGTTGTCAGAGAATAGAAAAAATAAGGGCAGAAACCACCAAATAATTTTCCATTGACGGCCATACTAAGAAATGTCTGCAAAACTGCATGAACAAAATAATTTGGTGAATAATTTTCTACCCCCAATGGCACAAAAAATATACTGTTATATAAGTGCTTCTTTTTTCAATGAAAAGAGTGGTTCGTTTCAGGTAGAGTTTGGGGTAATCTTATTTCATCTTTGGTATTAAGCCAAAGGCCTCAAAACGAAACTGAAATTTCTGATGAAGTTTTTAGCAGATGTGGCGCCACCTATTGCACGGGAGACGAAAATCTTGGAAATGTTACGAATTCAGGATTGGATAAACCATCGGAAGAGAAGGTACACTTATTTATTTATTTATTTATTTATTTATTTATATAAAACAAAACAAATCCATTGAAGTTTTTTTTACACGAACCGACTTTCTGTCTAATATTGATTCACATGTGCCGACTTTTTCTCCAGTATTGAGTATTCATGTACTGACTTTTTCTTCAATATTGAGTATTCATGTACGGACTTTCTCTCCAATATTGAGTATTCATGTTCTGACTTTCTCTCTAATATTGAGTATTCATGTTCTGACTTTCACTCAGCCCCGTTCACATGTACCTACTTTCCCCCCTGCCCATTTTCAAAAGCCATCTTTTTGTTTTCATTATCTTATTCTTTTATTTCCTCGGCTTTAGCGTTTTAATGTCCTTGTTATGTGTAACTTTCTAGCAGTGGTTGTAAATTTGTTATCCAAAAATGTTTTATCATGCCTTTGAGTCTTAAATAAGTATATTATTTAATAATTAGTAGGCTCATCTTAAATAACCTTTAAAAGGAAAATTAATCAGTAATTTTCAGAAATTAAAACAAGTTCTTTAAAGATGTTGACTACAACTTCTTCATCGTATTGTTTTCATGATAATATTTTACTTCCTGAACTAACATATTTTCTGACATCATTTACATAAATGAACGGAAACGTTGGTATATCCTCTATCTGGGCGGCAGATATTATTGGCACATTTTCCACCAGTCCCTGGTAGACGCTTGACCATATTTAGCCAGTGACATTATCTAGTGGCGGATTTAGGGGGGGGGGGGGTCCTGACTCCGCCCCCCCCCCCCGCCCCCCAATTCGATTCTGAAAAAAATCACACTAATGGTCCCCTCTTAAAATTCGAATTTTGACTAGCATAATCATAGTTTTAAACCGCACCAAATGGCACCGTTCGCCCTCTAAAATTCCAATTTTTTTCGGGAGCCATTCAGCGGACCCGGAACCCCACGCCAGGGCTAGAGGGTCAGCTTTGCATCCGCGGACTCCCCTTCAAATAATCCTGCATCCACCCCTGTTATCTATGAATATCTAGTGAAAAATCAATCAGTGGACCTTGTAGGGGGTATCGTTAGTACATGCATCCTGTTTTGCTTGCAAGTTTCGCTGTTAATGATACCAATTACCACTGGAACATCCTGACACTCATTAGCGCAGGATTATTGAACTGTATGGTGTCGCTTGTGCCACAGACTGGGTTCCCAAGCCTGGATAGATTTTACAGGATCGATCCATCTCCAAGGGGTTCCTCGCTAAATTGCTTTCAGCTTTAGCGGCTTGGATGCCTGGCACGCCGACTGAAGCTACTAAAGGATAATTATTTACCCCTTAGCAGCTTCAGTAGGCGTGTCGGACACCTACGCAGCTTAAGTTGATAGCAATTAAGCAAGAATCCCCTTGGAGATAGATCGATCCAAAGTTATAGTACGATAGGGACTGGGAATGGTCCCATGGTATGGTGCGTGTTTAATCACGGGATCCCAGACTGTAACCCACGCCTTTTGCTATAAATACATTGCCAGTCGCATATACAGAGTTTAAATTCTGGATATGAATATTAGTATTAAAATACTAGATATGGAATAATTGTTATTTTTGAGTGCAGATTAAAAATTTTTTGGGCGTTATTCATCAAAAAATACGTCATTGAGTGATAAAGATATCCAGTCTTCTACTGTGAGATACTATGGTCAAAAATATCAAATCTGGAGATAAATCTAGAAAAGATATATATTTAAAGGATTCTTCATCGCAGAAAAATATTAAAATTATTCTTTTAGTGAAGAGGAGGTATTATCGAATTAAATCATAAGCCATTTTATAAGTATTTCCTTCAATTTCTGTTTTTTTTTTTTTTTTCATTCTATTTTTGATTGCTTCCTTATTCCATTATTCTATCTTGAACGGCTCTTTTATTTTGTTGGCGAAATTATGACTTAGTTGTTTTCAGCTCCAGATATTGTGCGGCACATACCTTGCCTGTGGCTTGATGGCCGTTGGAGCGGTCGCCATTTTCCTAGATGATATACATCGCCACAAATCTGCAAAATCCCAGCCGAAGAAGAGATTCTCTAGTGCCCTTTTTGTTGCAACTTTCAAGCACATGCGGAAACCCAAGCAGTTGCTACTGATACCGATAACCGTTTACTGTTCCATGCAAATGGGGTTTTTCTCCAGCGATTTCACAAAGGTAAGCTAACCAATACAGGTTTTCGTGGCAAATTTTTTTTTGTTTGAATTTAATTATGAACATTGAAAATTACAAAATAAAAAACCTTTTAACCCCTGGCAGTATGTGTCTTGTATTACATGTAAACCGTGCTGTATGTTATTTAAATGTTCGGGTAAATGTCATGTCTTGGTGTGGCATTTACCTGGTGGGCCAAATGTTCCTTATTTGTGCTCACTTGCTTTGAAGCTGCTAAAAATTGTCGGTTCACTAATTTTTCATTTGAATAGCATTATCATTATTATTATTATTTACTCAAACACCACACCAGGCATTCGTGAGCTGCACTTATGGAATCTGGAACGTGGGGTACGTCATGATGACGTATGGTGTGACCAGCTCTCTTAACTCAATTGTGATTGGACGACTGGCGAAACGGGTGAGGCGGCCTTTTTTCTTCACAATAGGTAAGTGCGAACTGCTAACGTTAATTAACGCCCAGTCGCCGTTATTAAAAATGTCGGAATAATCTCTTGATCGTCTGCCATTCGTATTGAGTTTGAGCAATTTGATCAGGTTGCGCACATCGAACTTTTGCTAAAACCACAAATTTTAAACCATGTGATGGTTACCTATCACCAATGTCGATCTGTTTTGAAACAGATGTTTAAAATGTGTACATCATAACACGAGCGCCTGCAATTTATTTATTTATTTATTTTGTGCCTTTTGAGAGCAAAAATACAATCATAGCTTTTATATTTCAGCAATGCTTTTGCATTATGGGTTGCTTTTCACATTTCTGTTCTGGCAACCCACACCGGATGGATTGCTGATTCTTTATGTTTTGGCGGGACTATGGGGTGCCGCTGATGCCGTCTGGACAACAGAGATAAACGGTAACATGTTTTTCACTTTGGTCGTATTCAGGAGGGTTGATCCTCGGATATCCTGGTCCACATATCAAATATGGCGGACCCTACATGAAAGCAAGGCCGCCCAATCTCTAAGTGGTCTCCCCGCCTCTACTCGGATCAAATTTTGGCCTCGAGGTTTAATTACAAGGCCCCCGCAGAGAAGGCGCGTGTGGAGGCGGGGAGACCGTTAAGGGATTAGGTGGTCTTCCTTTCATGTAGAGTCCGCCATATTTGATCCTCGTACAGGTAGATCTGACAATCATATGTTCTGAATGCGTCCTTATGGATCCTCTGGCAGAGTAAGACTGGGTTCCCATGCCTAGATTGATCCATCTGGATCGGTCTTACTCGCTGGGGATTCTCACTAAATTGCTATCAACTTAACCGGCTTATATGTCTGTCACACCTAGTAAAGCTATTAGGGGATAATTATCTTTACTCCCTAGCTCATTCAAGACATAAACAGGAATAAAAGGAAAGAAGTGATCTTAAATTCAACTGACTTCAGTCGATCTCCTTATGTTTAAAAAAAGAATTCATTGCCTTTTTACATGACAGACGTTTGCGCTAAAAAGCACTCTCAAGTTTATGAGTTGTTCTTTACTCTCGTTTCAGTATTATACGGAGTTCTTTTCCATGACAGTCAAGAAGCGGCCTTCTCATGTTATAGACTCTGGCATGCATTCGGATTCATTTTGGCTTATGTCTTCAGCGTCCAGTTGTGTGTGTTTATGAAATTATATATCTTGATGGGGACCCTGGCGTTGTCCATGTTGGGCTATTTGACAGTGGAATTGATGCAAAGAAAATGCCAAGAAAATACTTTGGAAACGCGCAAAACTGTTGAAGCTGCTATAGACATGCTTGGCTCTAATCTAACACTTTAGATAGTTCAACACGGCGTTTAATCCGACTTCCTTTCTTTTTGGACATGAAGTATATGTGGTCATAGTAGAAACTTTTATGGGTTTATTGCAAAAAAAAAAAGAATATATATCGCAGGCGTTATTTGAAAAAAAAAACAAAATACATGTATGAACACGTCCTCGTTTACTGATTTACCTCTTTCATATATTTTTGTCTCGTGGCTCCCAAAACAAACAAAATTCAGCCTTGTGGACCCAACAATGTTATATGACCTACAACAAGTTCTACCTACTGAAAATAAAATGACAACAGGGTAAAATATGTCGTATCAGTTTTAATTTTTATCTAAAAGTGCCGTGTTTTCTAACCTATCTCTCTTTTGTGCTAAGTTCACATTTGGTTGAGGATGTATTCTAATCCCACCTCAAGGCAGAGAAGAGAATTCTAATCCCACCTCAAAGCGGATATCGTAAAATCACGGAGAAATTTGACCTTTACGGCGAGATTTGTTCCTATCTTATACGGTCCCTATTCAAGTGTTTATCTGTATAGATAAAACAACCCAGATCAGCACTAGTCTTCGTTTATGTTAAAGCGCCTTTAGAATATTTCACTTTTCGGGTGTCTCTGTCTTGGCACACGTGTACATGTTCAGTTACATAACCAGCTCGCTGAATAGCTATTAATAGGCTAGTTACAATGGATCATTGTGAGGGTCATTTTGCATAAAAACTTTTAGAAATATTGAGAGAAAAAAGGAATGACGACTGTCGACGAGGGACCGAAGGCTTCAAGGTTACAAGTCCCCACGAAGTTGGACATTGCAACCACAAAAATGCTAGCATCGGGAAATGTGGCAGACGACAGTCGGGTTCCAGAAGTTGATTATAATTTCAGCAGAGGTCGACATCTGAAGAACGTCTTCGTCTTGAGCATAACCTTCACGCTAGTTTTTACAGCATTCCATGGTTTAGAATCATTACAAAGCAGTATGAATAAAGATCAAGGTTTGGGAGTCTACGGTCTTGTGTTCATCTACTCCGCCATGATCATCTCTTGTCTTTTCCTGGCGCCTCCTATCATCTCCCTCCTAGGATGTAAATGGACCATAACGGCGGCAATGGCGTCCTACACCACCTACACCCTAGCCAACTTCTACGCAGTATGGGGTACCATGGCGCCTGCCTCTGTCATATTAGGAATGGGAGGGGCGCTGCTCTGGTCGGCAAAGTGCATGTACATCACCGAAACAGCCACACAATACGCCCAAATAACCGGAAAGAATAAAGACGTCCTGCTCCACCGCTTCTTTGGTATTTTCTTTGGAATCGTAAACTCTTGTAAGGACAGTTGCCTTTATATCTTTAATGGTTCAGGGGCTATCCATTCCTTTTTTTTTAAATAATTTCATTGCAATGTCAGAAGGTGGCGTGGAATAGGGTAAACGGCATCGAGGGGGAAATTGCACGTGGTGAATTATTGATCCACTCATTTACTGTTTGGTAGTGCACTTGGTTATAAATCCACGTGGTGCGAAAAAGTCCAAATTAGGCCTTGGAAGATGTCAGAGCAGACTGTCCACAGCTACAGGGATATCACAGGGGTATCTGTAGTATCAGAGGCGGATCCAGAGATATTTTCTGACAGTCTTCCAAACTATCTTTGTTGATCCATCCTCCATCTTTGACCGTCTTCCGACAGAAAAAAATCAGATACCCGTCAATGTAAACTTGAAAATCTGACCGTCTTCCCGAAGACCCAGAAGACGGCCTCAATCCGCCCCTGAGTATAGCCTTTTATATCACAGAATTTAAGTAGATACTTTTTGTTATTTTGTTACTGACTAGCAGCGACCCCTGTGGTCAGAGAATAGATAAAATTAGGGAAGAAACCACCAAATAATTTCCCATTGGCCATACTAAGAAATGTCTGCAAAACTGCATGAAGAAGATAAATTGGTGAATCATTTCCCATCCCCATGGACAGCAAACACACTGACGCAAATCCCAATGGCACAAAAATATACTTTTACAGTGTTTCTAATTCATTTCTTACCGGCGGTAGTTGAATAAGTGCACCCCTCTTCTTTGTAAACAAACCACTCACAGTAAGTGGCTTCCTCCGCCAGAGGTCCCAGACTGAACGACACCCATGCCTGGTCCTGACAAAAAAAGAATTGCAGTAGTTAACACCCCAGCCTGCCCATTGACACCATAAATTACCCAGGCCCGTAGCCAGGGGGGGTTCGGGGGGTTCGAAAGAACCCCCCTTTTTGCTGGAAAAAGGTCCACTCTGGGTAAAATTTGACCTAAGTACATGGGGATTATATGATAAAAGGTCCACTTTTCCAGGAAAAGAACCCCCCCTTTGAAATTGCTGGCTACGGGCCTGTAACCCTATCAACATACAAGAACTGTCAGGTAAATTGGAAAAAAAATCGCTATTTTTTCTCACAGCACTATATTCAGATTTTGGATCTTTGTGATCAGTAGCACAGAGAATTATATCTATATTTGTACACAGTGCGAAAACATATTGCTTTACATTGAATGTTTTAATGTCAGCCAATATACATGTTTGTCGAGGCGAAGTAAGTTCGTTCAATAGACTAAAGAATTAAATGTAGGCCTATATGTTTTTCGGATTTCAATGTAAACACTTTGCTTCCATGTTGAAGTTGACATGTACTGTACTTTTATTTTCTGATATTGTTATAATGAAAAATGTGGTTCGTTTCAGCCACAGTTTGGGGCAATCTTATTTCATCGTTGGTATTAAGCCAAAGGTCTCAAAACGAAACTGAAATTCCTGATGAAGTTTTTAGCAGATGTGGTGCCACCTATTGTACAGGGGACGAAAATATTGGAAATTTTTCGAATCCAGGATTGGATAAACCATCGGAAGAGAAGGTACATTTATTTATTTATTTATTTATTTATTTATTTATTTTAAAGAAAACAAAGCCATCGGTACTTTTAAGGGCTCCTACATACACGAACCGACTTTCCCTCTAATATTGATGTACTGGTGCTGACTGTTTCTCCAGTATTGAGTATTCATGTAATGCCTATCTCTCAGCCCCGTTCTCACGTACCGACTTTTCCCCCTGTCCATTTTGAAAAGCCATCTTTTTGTTTTCACAATGTTATTTTTTATTTTCTCGGCCTTGTCGTTGTAATGTCTGTGTTATGTACGGCTCATCTTAAATAATCTTTAAAAGGAAAACCAATAAGTAATTTTCAGAAATTATAAAAAAAAATGTTCCTATTAATGTTCACCACAACTACTTCATCGTATTGTTTTCATGATAATATTTTAGTTCCTGAAGAACTAGCAATTTTTTTTATTCAACTGCTACTGTCATCATTTACATATATGTAAATGAACTGCAACGTTGGTATACCTTCTACCAGGGCGGCAGATATTATAGACATTATAGGCACATTTTTCACCAGCCACAGGTAGAAGATCGGACACATTTATATAATTAGCCAGATACATAATCTGTGAATATCGAGTGAAAAATCAATCAGTGGACCTGGTAGGGGATATCGTTAGTACATGCATCCTGTTTTGTTGGCAAGTTTCTTTGTTAGTAATATCAATCACCACTGGGATATCCTGGACTCAATCTGAGACTCATTAGCGCAGGATTGTTGAACTGTATGGTGTCGCTGATGTATTGTCATAGCATGGAGCGAGGTGTATGTTACGTACCCTAAGTTCTAGATTTCTATATTGCCAGCTCGATCTTGATTTCAAACATAGCCCACATGCGAAGTATGGTAAAGCTAACACATGAAAAGGTATAGTGAGCAAGCTAGCTTTATATTGATTGCCCTGACACTCAGGGTAGTGTTTAACCAAGGGATCCCAGATTGTAACCCACGTCTTTTGCTATTTATACATTGCCAATCGCATATAAAGACGGATATAGCAAATATACATGTATATTAAGATTCTGAATTGCAGAAAAATCTTTTAAAAAATGATTATTTTTGTGAAGAGACGGTAATATCGAATTAAATTTTAAACCGTTATTTATCTGTTTCCTTCCGTTTCTGTATTTTTAATCCATGTTTGATTGCTTCCTCGTACCGTTATTCTATCTTGAACGGCTCGTTTATTTTGTTTGCTAAATAATGACTAAGTCGTTTTCAGCTCCTGATATTGTGCGGCACATACTTTGCCTGTGGCTTGATCGCCGTGGGAGCGGTCGCCATATTCCTGGATGATCTTCATCGTCAAAAATCAGCAAAATCCCAGCCGAAGAAAAGATTCTCTAGTGCCCTATTTGTTGCAACTTTCAACCACATGCGGGAACCCAAACAGTTGCTACTGATACCGATAACTATGAACTGTTCCATGCAAGAAGGTTTTTTCTTCAGCGATTTCACAAAGGTAAGTTTACCAATACGGGATTTCGTGGCAAAATTTGTTTGAATTTCTTTATAAACATTTAAAATTACAAAATACAAACCCTTGAACACATGGCAGTATACTTCGTGCCACGTACCTGTAAAACATGTTGTATGTTATCTAACTGTTCCGGTACATGTCATTGTCTTGGTGTGGCATATACCAGGTGAAACTTAAGTCCTTAATTGTGCTTACCGTTTATTTCTCTCTAACCCTTTTTACAAACAAAACCCTTTTTAATGTAGATCTATAATTTTCTTGTAACTTACATCAGTAGCTTTGAAACTGTCATAGATGGTCGGTTCACAAAAATTTCATTAGGAAAGCATTATAATTATTATTTTTTATTTGCTCGAACACAACCCCAGTCATTCGTGAGCTGCAGTTATGGACTCTGGAACGTGGGGTACGTCACTATGACGTATGGTGTGACCACCTCTCTAATCTCAATTGTGATTGGACGACTGGCGAAACGAGTGGGGCGGGCGGTTTTCTTCACATTAGGTAAGTGCGAACTGCAAACGCCCAGTCGCCGTTATTAAAAGTGTCGTGATAATCTTTTGCTTGCCTACAATCCTTACGAGGTTTGAACAATTTGTCCAGCGTGCGTACATCGAATTTTGCTACAAGCCACAAATTTAAAGCCACTTGATGGTTACCAATCACAAAAGCCTATGTGTTTTGAAACAAAAGTAAAAAATATGTACACCATAAAAACTTACCTGCGATTTAAGAGAGCATTCACATCGAGAAGGACCGAGGTCTGGCAAGACCGAGACCTAAATATGGCGTACCTTCATGAAAGGAAGACCGCATAATCCTTTAATGGTCTCTCCGCCTCTCACACGGCTCCCCAGGCGTCAACCCACGACCAGTTGAATTGAGCCGAGATTTAATTAGTGTGCCCCTGTAGGGACGATGCGTGGGGAGGCGTGTGAGAGGCGGCGAGACAATTAAAGGATCACGCGGTTTTCCTTTCATGTAGGTCCGCCATTTTTAGGTCTCGGCCTTGCTAGACCTCGGCTCTTCTCGATGTGAATGCTCTCTAATTCATTTTCGTGCCTCTTAAGAGCAAAAACACAGTCGTAGTTGCTATATTTCAGCAATGCTTTTGCATTATGGGTTGCTTTTCACATTACTGTTCTGGCAACCCACACCGGATGGATTGCTGATTCTTTATGTTTTGGCGGGACTTTGGGGTGCCGCCGTAGCCATCTGGACAACAGAGATAAACGGTAGTGTGCTTTTCAAATATTGATCCTCTGGCGGTTTAAGGATTACAAGGAAAGTAAATTGGTGTTCTTTTGGATGTTTTGCAGTTTTTGTAATATTTTAGTGGACCCTTTATGTTCACTTTTAGAAGGAGAGACGGGAATGGAATCCTCTTTTAAGTTTTGGAAGAGGGGGGCAGGTGGGATGAACCTCCACCTTTGTAATCCGTTATTGTCCATTTACATATTAACCAATATCACTGAGAATGCATTTCGTTCTTACCTCTGTCAATAGATGTTGTTATTTCATCGGGCTTGGTGCCTTTAACGTAACAATTAAAATAGGCAAGACATCTCAAAATATTCTTCACAATATTTTTTTGGAATTTTTAGAATAGACTACTCAGGAATCAAAAGGAAAAGAGTTATTCCAATTTCAAATTACTCTAGTTTTCTTTAAAAGAAATTTCATTACATTTTTCACTTGACAGACGCTTGCGCTAAAAAGACACTCTCTAGTTCATGTGTCCTTCTTTACTCTCGTTTCAGTATTATACGGAGTTCTTTTCCATGACAGTCAAGAGGCGGCCTTCTCAAATTACAGACTCTGGAGAGCAATCGGGTTCATTTTGGCTTATAACTTCAGCGTTAAGTTGTGTGTGTTTATAAAATTATATATCTTGATGGGGACCCTGGCGCTGTCCATGCTGGGCTATTTGACAGTGGAATTTATGGAAAGAAAATACTTTGGAAACGCACAAAACTGTTGAAGCTGCCATTGACATGCTTGGCTCTAATTTAACGCTTTAGATGGATCAATGGCGTGTAGTCTGACTTCTTTTCTCTTTGGACATGCAGTATATGTGGTCATAGTAGTGGTTTTAATGGGATTTATTGCAAAAGAAAACTATATACATACCACAGGCTTTACTTTAAACAATCCTATGCACGCGTCCTCGTTTACTGATATATTACTTTCATATATTTTTGTCTCATGGCTCCAAAAAAAAAAAAAAAAAAAAATCAGCAAAGTTGACCCAGCATTGTAATATGATACAACAAATTCTACCTACTGAAAAGATAATAATAATAATAAAAGACAATAGGCTAGAAAAATGTCATATCAGTTTTAATCATAATTTCAATTTTTATCTAAAAGTGCCGTGTTTTCTACCCTATTTCTCTTTTGTGCTATGTTCACATTTGGTTGAGGATGATACAGAATTAAATCTTTCAAATAATTAAAAGACTTCAAGTTTAGCGTTATTCCTTTGCTGTTCAATATGGGCCTACTGCCTTCAAAAGAAGTCCCCTGTTTATCGTCTGATACAGCGTCCTGACTGCTGTCAAAACCACAGTTTCCCTGAGCACCCGTACATTTCTTTATACTAAGAGCGAGAATGCACGATAAAATCAAGAGAGATCCCACTATTGACGGCCATGTTGGGATGACATGAAGAATTGTCACCTGCCAGATGAACACGAAGATTGGCTCAGAAGTGCGCCCTAAACTTACGATGACGACATTCTCGATCTTCAGCGCCACCTGGCAGCAAATCGCGGCGGTGAATGCCATGACACCATTCAGCACGACTGCACACCACTCCAACAACGTGACCGGAAATGACACGCCCTCTGTTGACAAAACAACTATCCATGAAATAATACTGCTGAAGAGACCTACAGATGCTATAATAAAAAGACTATCTACATGCTTCAGTTTTCTCCCGAAAAGCATGTTAATTGATGACGTCACGGCGGTTGCTATGGCCAGAGTGACACCTATCGGATCAGCTGCGTCTGACTCTCCCCAGAGGAAGCTTGGCCTGGATATGAACACTATACCTACAAAAGAAAAAAATACAATCCTTGATAAAAATGAGAACAATTTAGTAAAAGAAAAATGTCTTCTATTATGGCCAATAAAAAGGCATTTTATAGGCTATAATTTTTACTGACACATGGATCGTTTTTACCAAAATGGCCTAAATAATATACCGACATGATTGAGGTTGAAGTATTTCGTTTTCGTGAAATGTTTCAGGGGCGGATTAAAGCCATCTTCTGGGTCTTCCGGAAAACGATCAGATTTTCAAGTTAGCATTGATGAGTATGTAATTTTTTGTCGGAAGAGGGTCAAAAATTGAAGATGGATCAACAAAGATAATTTGGAAGACTGTCAGAAAATATCTCTGAATCCGCTCCTGTGTTTGATATCATAATTAAGGTTCATACGCTCTCCACATTATTCATGCTGACTGGAATGGCCCAGTTTATGCACATTAACTTGAGGCATAGAAATTTAGATATATATCAGTATTAATGGCGCTATAATGGACTGTATTGCTCCTGGAGCCGTTTTTGGAGCCGAATTAACGCCAGGAAATTAAATAGACTGTTTATTGTACTTTACTGCTATTCCATGGTTCAGTAAATCGCATGAATTTAATATAAAATGCCTTTCTGGCATAAACTGGTAAAGAACTGACTGACTACCAAATTTTGGAGTTACTTATTAGGCCCCATTTTAAACGAAAACTGACACTTGTTCTAGCGTGTTCGGCAATGGATTGCTGTACATGAACGTTAAATTTGGCATGCAACAAGAAGACTTTTTACCATTTATCGTTGAAATTAGGCTGCCGCTTGTTAATATGATACTTAGCGTCCATCTTATGCGCGATGTAAAACTCGTAGCTTTCGGGCACAAGGCAACTGGCGCAGAACCCCAATAGACTGCTTATACAAAGTAGTATCATTCAACTGGGACGCATCATACAAGCTGGGTACGTCAAATTGCTTTAAAAGAATTTCGTACGACGTCCTCTGCTGCCTCGACAAGCTAAGCCGTCATTAAAAAAAGATCGTATGCCGTCCAGCCGTCTTTGAATGTATAGGCCGTCAGGTGATGTCAGCGGCAGTCCAAATGACGGCTGGGCGGTTCGCTAGGAAAAGTCTTGTTGCAAAGCATCCTAAACTCCTTCTAAGTTTGCGTTATTAATTTATGAGAACAATGAGTTCCCATTTGCCATGAAACGAAAAGAAATGGAAGCGGCTCTTAATTATGTCTTCGATACTTCGATACTGGCTTGGCTGAAGTTTTAAAGCTGCTTAGTAGCACTTCTCTATTATTATTAAAGCTTTATAAAGCGTCGGACAAAGTACTCCAAATGACATAACACAAGTCCAACTTTGTTTACCCGAACTTAACGCGGGAGTGCGCATCGCACAGAAACCATTCATCAGTAAAATCCTCCAATCGCGGTCGAATATGGAAGCCGACCCTTCTATGTATGTTTATACTTTCAGGTATCAGGGTCCCCCTAAAATACTGTGCAAAATCACTGTGCTTTCAACATTTGGTAACAGGTTACTAGCGCACCCTGTGTTCAGAGATAAACATGTTTGTGGTCTTTGTAGAAGGCGGCAATGCAAAAGGCACATTATATTTGCCTAAATTTTGCAATTTAACCAATATTGTAGAGTGAAAGAGAACGGATGAAAAAACAACGTCAGGAATTCATCTAAAAAACTGTGTCACGTATTTAACAATTAAGCCTTATCTAACAGTGCCCCATTTGGGTTACAATGGGTCCTTGTTCAAATGTACACCGAATGTAAAATTCTAATAAGTCAAATTCCATTATGCCTTCTCAATTAAAGGTGTTAACTAATTAAGGCTTAAACTATAACATAAGCGTAGGGCTTTGTTTGGCTGAACCCTCACTTTAATTAATGTTCATCGGCAACTCCAACTATTGAGTTTAGTCAGTTACTCAAAACATTGTTCTCAGCCAGTTGTCGTTATCAGTCAGTTAAGGCTCTAAGGGCCCCTTTACACTGGACGGCGTCCTTTCTGCGTCCAGCAGTACGGCCACATTTGAGAGTTAAAAAATTATAATACTTTACGTGCCGACAACTGGCCGATCATTGAGCATTCATTCTGATACAAAATCAATGCTTGTGCCTACTTATTAAGACCACAGCGATGCCAAATTTCATGGTCGCAGAAAGGACGCAGAAAGGACGCCGTCCAGTGTAAAGGGGGTATAACTGAGAATAGTGAAACCTGACTGGGTCGATGATATAGTTTTTTCATCATATTAAACCGGTTATATGCAACACACAAATGTACCCAGCATAAAATATGCGTTATGTATTTCAAGAGACCCGAGTATATGACGCAGGTAAGCTTCCCCTGAGACTTTTAAAAGGAAATTAAGGACTATGATGTAAAATTTAAGACAATTTACAACTGAGATTTTATGGCTCTTGCGTGTTTGTTGAGGATTTATAAGCGAGGAAAGCACTATTTTTCATGTTACATACTATTTCGTTAACCTGTATCTAACATTGCAAAATCTATTCAAGTTATTTGGATTATAGACCTTAAATAAATAAATAAATAAAAATATAAATAAATAAATTATTATTATTATTATTGTTGTTGTTGTTGTTGTTGTTATTACTTCTTAAAACCGTGAGAAGCCAAGACTACATTGTAGGGTAAAAGTACGTCCGGGTGTGCCTTTCATATCACGCCCCCTTCCCCTTTCCCCTTTCCTCCCCCCCCCCCCCATGCCCCCCCCCCCAATACTCTCTAAGACCTACCTGCCAACATAACCAGCGTAGAGCAAATCTCCACAACGCCATACGGTTCTTTCAGTATAACACAGGCGAGAATCCCAGAGTAAATCGGGGCGGTATACTCTAGCACGGCTGCGTCCCCTAGAGGCAGGTAACGGTATGCAGAGAACGCACACCACGCTGTTAAATACCCCATGCAGCTCCGTATAACAACTAAGACACAGTCCAGTCTCGACGTCATGCCCGTCCAGGGAATAATCTCCTTGTCATTCAGTGCCTTCTGTTTCGCTGCTTCGATGCTTGAGTCTGATTTTGGTCTGTCACAGCTTTCCACCGCAGATTCATTTGACTCTTTTGAAGCCTCTTTCTCAGGCCCTTTAGTCTCGGAAATTTCTAAAGACTCTTTGAATTGTTTCTCGGAGATTGCCTCCTCGAGATTCCCCTGGGAAAATTCTTGGGATGCCCTTCCCTTTTTAAGGATTTGATTCTCTCTCTCACTGTTGTTCATATCGGAGTTTTCTCTCTTACACACACTTTTAGAGTCAAAATCGTCGTACTTCCATTCCTGATAATTACATCTGCTGGAATTTCGAGTCTCGGAATCAACTTTTTCAAGATATAGCAACTTTGAATCTTCACTGGCGACCTCTTCATCAATTTTTTCCCGTCCAGAATCTTGTTGCTTAGCAACACAGAGCCAGGAGGGGGCAGCGAGAACAAAAATTACAACGTGTCGGAACGCCAAAAACACGAGGACGGAGACGTCTTTGTAACTGCCGACGAGAAGTGCCGACACTGACAGTGCCAGGGCCGACAACACCGACAGAAAAAGTCCCGCCGCTCCATGGTGTAGGTGACAAGTCGTCTCCCCCATGCTCTTCTACTGTCCTGCTCTAAACATGCTATTCACTGACGTCACTTTCAGTAGCAGGCGACCCATATGGACAGTTCAGCTATTGCGTATCCACCATTTAGCTTGGTAACCAGTGCAGTGATTCCTTCTTTTTCAGTGTTACCTAAAAATCCATATGAGTAGATCTGTTAGTATCTATACGTAAGTTTAATCTCGATGCTTCGAACAATAGGGTGCTGTATTTCGCTTCCAGGAGGGTGACGCTTCAATGCGAAATGATAAAAGCAAATGCATAATATACTAAATACACGAGATGCCCGCTGTGTGTAACGTACAAGATTAGCCATTCATGCGCATGATGTCTCACGTAAGACCTATAGTTCCGCTTGTCCGTGCAGTTGTACGAATGGAATTTTTAGAACAATTTTCAACCAAAGATCCACAAAATTGACTTAACATTTAAAAGTAAGTGAAACCAGGAGCTCTGTTAGAAAAATCTTTCGTAAAACGCGAAAGTTTAGGAGGAGATCGTTTAGGCCTATCGCCGTTATCATCTCGCCTACTGAATATTCAGAACATGACATTTTGTGGACGGGTGGTGAGGTTAATTAACAGTTGTGTTTATTAAGCATGAAATCTGTTAACATATCAGCACGTGGGGGAATCTATTTGATAATAGAAGGAGATGATATCAGGGGGGAGGGGGGGGGGCTTCAAATGGTTTTACAAAGGACATGGAATAAGAAACGATTAGCATCTACAGACCCCGATGCAAAATGGAAATCATACTAGATTGCATAAAACGAGACCGTCTGCAATACGTGATGTTATAAGGGACTATAAACTTGGGGGAGCTGTGTTTTCTTAGAGTGCATTCCCAGAGATTGAGATCAATCCATCCGGATCGACCTAACGCCGTGGGGGTTCACGCTAAATTGCAGTCAGCCGAGCGCGCACGACAGTTAATTACCCCCTTACAGCTTTTAGTAGGCGGGACAGACATTTAAGCCGGCTAAGCTGACAGTAATCTAGTGAGACTCCCCACGGGGATAGATCGATCTAAAATCTGTGGGAATGGGGTCCTAGAAAGCTATGTACAAATGATACGTAAAATTTGGTAAATTCGTGTTGCAATAGACTGTAATGCGACAGAGCATTCTTAAACGCGAAAACACACAGAAGACCACCTGTTAATAAATCCTGTCACCTTTTGTTCATTGTCACGCCGCCATTACTATTCTGCCATTATTTCTGACACAATTCTCCTCCAAACCCCGCGAAATCTCACTTGATTTTACGTTGAATCGCCAAACGATTCCAATGTAAACACGACAAAGACAGAGAGTGAAATTACGATTAGTTCTGATGACGTAGAAATACATGCTTTATTTAGAGCTATCAACAGGCTCGTTATATTATATCCAAAATAGGCAGGATATGCTAATGATATCATTATGGTCTTGCCTTTTGTCCTCCGCTATCGACCTATATATTGATATTTTTCACGGATACGTCTGTGGCTTATTACATATGAACTTTTCTCAACTGTGAACGAGAATTTGAAATGGCACCAGTACTGTACTGGCCTCTAGTAAAGAGTAGCGTCTTGGTGTGTTGCTGGTTTCAAGCCCAAATTTTTAAGTGACGTAATTTCCATGATGGTTAATTTTTGCAATATGAAGGTTGAACGGACTTTGCGTGTCTTAAATAAATCAGTGTTCATTTGGTACGTAGTCAAGTACAGTTTTAGAGCTGCTCGTGTAAAACTTCTTTGCTAGCATACATGTACCTACCTGTGTAAACCAACCTTTGCCAATTAAAAAAGAACGTCTGCAATCACAGGGAACAAATTGTCTTATTCCAAATGAAATCCATATAAAGTTCTCTCCTTTCCGTGAGTGGGGTCACAAAAACCTGAGCTGTAAGCAGAAATATTTTCGCTCTTGTTTTTTGTATATTACATAAAAGCTAGACCGCCACATCACTTGCGTGTTCCTTTCCAGTTAGGGCCCTTCTGTATCACGGGTCTTAGGGCACATTCCCAATGAAACTATCGGTCTACGTAGATCGATTCAACTCCGCAAGGGACTCTCACTGATTGCAATCAGTTAAACAGCTCCTGATGAAGAGTAGAATACAGAAAAGGTGGTGATTATAGGAGAAAATTGGAAAAAAAGAGGAGTTGTGTTAATCTGTTTAACTGATCTGATTGCATTCAGCGAGAATCCCCGCGGAGTTGGATCCATCTCCTTACAGCGATACTTAAATGGGAATGAGCCCTTAGTTTTCTTTTGCATATTTATTAGGAGCTATGAATTGTTTTAAATAGGTCTTTTTGACACTGCTACACGTTGGAATACATCGCTCGTTGCGTGATGGTCATACGTTTATTCAAAAGATACTGGTACCCGTGTCAACTTGTACACAAGGCTCCAATATCTTTTCAAGAATTTTTTTTTTTTTTTTTGACGTCGAGTACCACTCTGTGCTCTGTCCTGACTGCGGTAAACAAACCTATGTACTAATGAAATCTCCGAAAAAATGGTCTTTCAGACGCCCCCCCCCCCCCCAAAAAAAAAGAAGCAGTTTTACTTGTCAGTTTTCCAACGGCCAATATGTTCGCAACGTTATTCAGCTTTCTCGTCTATCGCCCACCCGATACACAGTGTATCTGCAACTCCTGAATACTATTGCCTCCTAATGCAAAAATCAATTGGTAAATCGTTATATTACTTCAGTATATTAGCGTATTATTGCCAATATTATATTTGTTTTAAATTGCTGATTCCTACCATTTACCATAACGTGTAGGTTAATGTTTTATTGTTATACTGGTACGTTTGGGGTTGGTGGACTCACGCTTGAGATAAATTTGAATTTCATTATATCAAAATAAAGAAATTCGGAGCTGGGACCCTGACAGTGCTGACAGGGCTCCTAGCTGAAAACGGTGAGATAATTGAATGTAGGTAGAATTCTCGTCCAAGTAGTTTTGTAACACTAGCACCTCTTTCATGCTTATGACATCTGAATGAATGAATGGGTGATCGCGAAGGCTAGCAGAGATGCATAAATAAATGTTTCACGTGTAAAAGAAGGCTGGAAATCGTTATAACTCTAAAGATAGAATATCGCTAGTACCATGACGTTGGACTGCCTACTATGAAGTGATTGTTACCTCCGCTAGGGTAGAACAAATCCAGGGTGACTCCCCCCCCCCCCCCCCCCCCCCCCCCCCCCT